GCAGGAATGACCCCATTCATGTGATACGCCAAAGCACTGACCAAAGTTTTTTCTTGCCATCATCAGCTTTGCTTCCAAGCAGCTCAGCTTCTCAGGCTGTTTCACAGCATGGCAATACAAACACTGCCTGCCACTAGGAAAGAATGGGGACAAATGTAGCTAGGGAGCAAACTGCTTTTGGTGGCAGCAGGGACAGAGATCAGGTTACAGTGACCATGAAATCACTCTCAAAACAAGACAAGAAATGATAGTCAAACGTCAAGAGAGAAAGAAGTATGCATGTTGGTGGGAAGAGAATGAGGAATAAATACTAAGGTGCAGTTAGACCACACCACAGAACTAATCTAATACCTTACTATCTAATAGCTTGCTGAAAGATGCGGTCCTGCTCTCCCCTTTCCTACTGCTCCCCTTGTGTGCCCCAGCTGAACAGTCCTACTCCATCTTCCATGCTGGCTCTGGCACTCATCTCACCCGTTGGTCCCATTTTCTAATTCGGCAGAAACATGACCAAATAAAACAAAATGCGTATCAGGTTAAGTGGGTTAGCAAATGGAAATGACTTGCTGCAGTTCAGCTAGTAGCAGCACTGGAACTGGGAAAGCAGCAATAGAGGGAGAACACCACTTATAAAAGATTGGTAAAGTGACTAAGCTGTATTGTCTACCTGTACCTCAGAAGACAATCAAGAAGCAAGCAATTAAAAAAAGAGAAAGGAAGAGAGTACTGAAGCCAGGAAGGGATACAACGCACAAAAACCATGGTATCCTTAAAACTGTTTGTCACTAAACAAGTGACTGACAAAACCAACACCTTGCTCATGTATTTGAAGGTTGGGAGAAAGTGGTAATAGCTGCTTAAACTAGGGGGTGGTAGTGCCAAGGGAAATTGTCAAATAGTCCCCATGATTTCATAATTAAGCAGAGATCCTGCTCAAGGGAGGTAAAGAGGATTTCCAACCTTGAACTGATACAAATACCTAGCTCTGGTATAAGGAAATTTTATGCACACATACACAAGGTATTAAAACAATACGAAAAAAATATTATAGCATTTTATTTGTCTATAAACCAGTATAACCTTACTGACCACCTCATATGATTTTATATGCATTCTTGTAAAACTGGAAAACAGTGTGCAGTTGCATGATGATACATTTTTTGACAGACTTGTACTAAAATGCTGTACATAATTTTGCTAATCTTCCTTTGAGCAAACACTCTGAAATTCATCATTTTTCCCTCCTGTTTCCAAGTCCTAACATTGTGTAAGTCCTATGCAAGAAACAGTAGATGAATGCTGCTTTTATTAATGATTGTCTGTGCTCAAAGGAACTACAGAATAAAAATCTTACATGAAGAAAGTTTAAATTTATCAACCACTCACTTCACCTCCAAACCAATCCAGCTGGTGCTCACAAGTGACAGAGAACCTGCCTGACTGCTGCTTGGAAGCCAGAACCTGAAGAAATGCCCAAGACCTAAAGTAGTCACAACTCAGTGGGGAGCACTCAGTTCTCCAATTCAAAGTGAACCAGTGTCCACACACAGAGATGTGAATACTCTTACACTGCAAATGCTTTTTTTGAGGAAGACATGTTAAAGCAAGATCTAAACCCTTTCCTTGCTTCTACTGAATTTTCCTTAAGGACAGAGATGTTAAGACTGCTACCTTTACCCACATCACCCAGAAGAAAGAATTTTATCTAGTCTAAATACAGGTCCTCTACAGTTTGAATAAAGAACTGAAGTAGTCGTTATACTGGTCTTGCACTGTGAGGACTGAGCTGCCCTTCATTTCAGAGAAAGTCCATATGATCTCTACAGATAGCCTATAAAAAGCACCAGAATACTTGGAAGTAAAGAAGTTTCATAAATATGATTTTTTTTTATTTATGCCACTGCCTGGTATTTTTCACTTAGTTTACTTACAAGTAGTTTCTCACCTGTTCCAAAATCCAGCATTATTTTCATAATTCTGAGGCACTATGTTAGACAGATAAAACGTTTCGGCCATAGCCCTCTGCACAGAGAAAAGAAAGAATATAATTTCACTGAAACATTTACAGGCTAAAAACGCATTTTAGAAGTTTTTGGATCAGAATACATTTCTAGTCTAGTCTTAACTTTATCAACAGAAAACATCACATAAAACCTAAATGAGAACATCTACAAAACTAAGAGGTGAATAACTGAGGTGATGCAAAATGTAAGTACTTTTTTTTTTTGTTGTTTGTTTTCATTTACAGAAACATAGCACCAGAGTGTCCAGTTCTAGAGGGACAGGAATTACTATGTCACCCAGTGTCAGTTTCATAATGTCTTCTTTCTGAATGGTAAGAATGCTTTCACTCATGCTTTTCCTTTATTTGACTGCCTAATGTCCAGCTTTTTCTTTCTCTTAAAAGAAATGGTTTTATTAAAAATATTCATTCATGTTTTACAAATCCGTAACATACAGGCAATTAAATGATTTATGAGACCATAACAGTCAAACGTCTACATATCTGCTTAATTTTATCTTTAAAAAGTGTCATAAAGCACTCTGAACAGAAGCCCATATATCTCCAAATGTGAAGGACCTGGAGCTGAAGAACTCTGCATAAGCAGGGAAATACAGGAGAAAAACTTAACCCAGAATCTTCACAGGTCCTGTACTTGTCAATATTCTTCACACACTACTTTTTCAAAGTGAAGTGGCAGAGAAAACTCCTTAGGATAATGAGCAAACACTACCTGCACTACTTAAACTGTGAAAGATTGTATCATCCCACTGCATTTCAAGCCAGGTCCAGGATCTCTCTGCACAAGCAGCTTACCAGCAAAAACTCCCCAGATACCACACATAAATAACCACAAAAACACTTCTAGTAGAAATAAAACAACTGGTTCTTTCCTCCCCCACACGCCACTGTGCTGTCACTCTGCCCCACTGCATACTGTTCTGCCTGGCAGAAATACAAATTCAAACTGTTTCTTAATTGACAAATTGCTGCATTAGGCACATTTCGCAAGAAAATCCAATAAATCCAAGGCTGCTTTGTTAGTCAGCCAAGGCATTAGGGCATGTTTTCTTACAACTCAAATAAATGGCAGGTGAAGACATTTTATAGAGTGAAAGAACTATGGCAAAAGTAGGGTCTAATTTATCTCATACACATTGCCAGAAAGGAAAAAGCCTTTTAAATCATCCAGGCGATCCCCTTGCCAATACAGAACAGTACTTAACAGCATCTTTGCTTTGCCCAATCTAGCCTTAAGCATCTCAGCACCTGCTGGCCAGAATGAAGTCATCATTCCCTGTCTCCCTTTAACCACGCTTCAGAAGACACTTTTGAGGTTTGTTTGGTGAAGGTTATCACCTTCATTTTACAGACAATGTGACCCACAAGTTGACAAGACTTGCTTAATACTATACTGTACAAGATATACTCACATCATCTCTGCCAAACAAGCTAATCTAGGTGTGATTTATTGAAGAGGTATGTCACCAGAGGGTACACATGATTTAGACACCTGAAGCAGTCTGTAAAAGCATCCTACAGTGCTCAGTCAGGGACAGACCTTGTAATTCCAAGTCCAGGTCTGTGCATCAATAATGAGATCACATTCCAACTCTAAACAAACTGCAAATGGAACATCACACATCACTTTTAAGGGCCTTTAGGTCCTTTCTTGACTGATAAACACAACTTAGAAAGAAAGAAAAAAAAATCCTACTGTTGAAAATTTGTTATTTCCCGCTGGTGCCATATGTCCTCGTGACCATCCGCTCCCAAGGTAGTCTTCATTGACAGCACTAAACATTAGCGGGATGTTAGGATCTGGTCTGAATTTACAGTGCTTTCGGTCTGCACTGCCTGAAGAATAACATGCTAAATTGTTAGGTTATCATAACAACATCATAACAACAAGACAAAAAGAACTGGTCCTGTCATATCTTGCCAAATGACCCATGCTTAAGGATTCAACACATTGAGCTAAATAGGACATTTTTCTACTCAACCATAAAAAAAGAATAATTCTGCTTAAGTATCTGTGCTCCAGTTCTAAACTCTTCCTCACTACACACTACAAATTCCAACATGCCTTCGGTTTTACAGAGAAAAAAACAAAAGCAAAATACTTTAGCCTTATCATAAATGCAGATTAATATTAAAGAACAAACCGCTAAAGATATAAACCAGTACAGATTCACTTTTTAGGGCAATGAAGATACACAGATCTTCACCAACTGCAATTCCATTTTTTATGTTTCAGTCACTACAAGTATTTCTTCTTTTTCCAAGTCTAGCCTGGAACTAGGATGGGTGCATATTGATAAAGTTACACTTGGTAAAATATTAAACCCATTCAAGAGAAAGTCTTAAGTCATTTGATCTTCACAGGCACAGAAGTAAGCGTAGAGCTTTCCTGTTCCTTTCCAAGATTCCTCTTCTGCCTTTCCAGACATTTGGGAATTATGCACAAAAATGGCTAGGCCTGAATTCTTCTGGTAGAGAAAAACATTCTGGGGAAGGTTTGCAGTGGGTGCTAACTTAACTGTTGCAGAGGTGGCAGCCCATTCTAAGCTGCTGTCTTTGCTGGAGAACTGTGCCTTCTTCCCAGGTTTACTGGCCATACACCTGTATTTGTGTCCTTGCAGTGTGTGAAGTCCCAGTCAGCTCTTTGTAGAAGAAAGTACTCCAAGTGGTCTGCAACTTTGAGAGGACTCCTTCATGAACACTTACTGCTTCCTTGGAAAACTGATGGCCGGACAAGACTTGCATGAATTATTCTGGCACCGACAGCCTCCAATAAGACACCACCTTTCCTAAGGAATGGCCTGGGATCCAAGATCTTCCATGGTTAAGGAAGGTGGTACAGAGAAGCAGTGGGGGCTTGTGCAAGAGCTGACTCAGCTGTGCCTGCGCAATAGCTCCACAAAGGCAGCGGCACAGTAAACAGCTGAAAAATAACTGGCTTAGAGCACCATCACTATTGTCCACGTTTTTTCCCCCCAAATGATAAAATAATTCAAAGTATGTACAGCATACTTATTTTTTCTTTAATAAAATTCAAGGTGTCACCTTAGGCATAATTTCACAGGACCATTACGTAGTCTCTTTCCATTTCAGCACGAATAAGTACACACAATAGAGAATTTTCCTCAGACTTGGCATTTTATGAAGCACTTCCTGTTTCAACAACATGAAGGGCAATTTTCAACAGTGATCACTGCTAGTTGTTAAAATTATTCTTTCTTCTGTAGCTGACTGTGCACACACACACAAACTGCACCCACTCTGGCTCTTTTTTTTTGTCACATCCATATTGCTACTGAGCGCATATGCACCCTATGCTTCCTGTGCTGCACACTGAGAACAAAGTGTGGTACACGCTCTCCACTTGGCAACTCTCTGAAGAACCCGGGACCATCTGTCTGTATGTCCATGGAGGTAATGTCAAAACGGAGCAGTGGTCAGGGAACCTTTATGCAGTGCAGGTAGAAAGAAGGAGCTTCACTTTTCTTTTCTTGGTAAAGCATGTGATACTTCAACACAGGATTGGTGCTTTGGGAGCAACACTGACAAGTATAATCAGTGTGCAAAACAACAGACTTCTTATCTTTAAAAAAATCGTATTTCATTTCAGTATTTAAGACAAAGTGTAATTTAGCAGTTAAACTTGAAAAATGGAAAAATGTATCCTCATTTATTCTCTACTCACTGTTTCGTTAAAAATGGTTAATTTCTTCTGTAACCAGTTTTGTATGCCTCATTTACAGCCTTCCAGTATCTGAAGGGGGCCTATAAGGATGCTGGGGAGGGACCCTTCATTAGGGACTCTAGTGGTAGGACAAGGGGTAATGGGTTTAAACTTAAACAGGGGAAGTTTAGATTAGATATAAGGAAGAAGTTCTTTACAGTGAGGGTGCTGAGGCACTGGAATGGGTTGCCCGAGGAAGCTGTGAATGCTCCATCCCTGGCAGTGTTCAAGGCCAGGTTGGACAGAGCCTTGGGTGACATGGTTTAGTGCGAGGTGTTCCTGCTCATGGCAGGGGGGTTGGAACTAGATGATCTTAAGGTCTTTTCTAACCCAAACCATTCTATGATTCTATGTTTTTAAACATTTAAGCTCTGACTTACCAATAAAATACATTTTTTTATATAATGTCCTTTCAATGCTCCAAGACATGGAAGGTTTTTGTGACCTTCCCTGAACAGCAACAAATCTCAATTATGGTAGCTGGCAGGCATAAGTCAGAGCTGAACGCCTCAAGATGCAAAATTTCAACTTGCAGATTAGTTATATCTGATAATTTGGAAAATATTTTAACAATTCGGCTGTTAAGGCCCACTTGAAAGTAAGCCTGGAATTACTGCTTTCTTCTCAGAAAGAAGTGGAATCAATGATGCTACTTAGGGGTTGGTTATAAATACTTTCAGGATCACGCTTTTAATTATAAAAGATAATTTGAAGACAGTGATTAAGATATATTTAGAGGGCTACTGTGTTCATAAAACATTTTACAATTAAACGGTTACCTCCATTACTAATAATTTGCCTTATAAAACTGAACTAATGCTATAAACTTAATTTACAATGACTGTGTACCACTCATACTTCATTCACTGCTGACAGCAAAAAATCACTGAGCCTCTGTATTGCATAAAGAAGTGGGGAGAGCATACTAGATAATGGACATCAGAAAATATAAGAGAACTGCATCAAAGTAAATAATGGCTGCAGTCAGTATGGAATGCCCTATCTAGCTTTGAACAATTACAACTGTTGATACCCTTTGCTCCATTTTTATCTCACAAATGGACATCCATCTTGTTTTCCCATTCTGAGCAAACCCCTTTAAGTTTTGTAGATTAAACAGTCTGGCCACTTCACAAGCCTGTGAACTGACATAAATTGGACCACAGGGCTACACTAGCTAAGGAAGCAAGAGCAATTTTTATGTGCTGAAGCAGTAACACTGAACTTTGCAGGTCTGAATCAGGCAGGGAAAATTTAATTTTCAGTGTTTCACTTTGTTTCTATTCACATTTAAAAGAGGTAAGTTAAGATTCCCTCCTGCAGCATGACTTGGAAGAGAGTTTACGCTGACGCAGCTATACTGATTCGGTGTTTATGGACTGTTCATAACAGAAATTTCTCATGGAAGGTAGCTCTAGTTTTCATTCTTCCCTTTCATACTCAACCCACTGGGCCAAGTGTATTTTGCAGGCTTCAGGACACTGTATGTTCAATACCAGATTAGTCCCAACAAGAGAAAGAATACTGAAAAAGCCTGCCAAACTGCAGCAACAGATCTCTGTTAAATCACTAGCAACGTCAGCCTTAACACTGTCATGAAGCTGACATCCACCCAGAGGCCTGCTGCCTTCAGTGGGATTGTGAATCTGTGGAAAAATCCATACTGGAGATCACTATGGGTTTTTTCTCCGTGCCTGCTCCTAGATCCACCTTCTTTGAACAGCAAAGCCCATTCTAGATGTCATATAAAGGTCAGTAAATAAATAGCTACATACCCAGCATCTTCTGTTTTGAAATATGTTCAATCACCCATCTAGGCACCCGTTTTGCCTGGTCATAAGACAGTGCATGATTTGTGTAACATCTGGTCTCTGTTCCAGCTTCAGGGAATCCATACATTTCCAGTAAAGACTCTTCTACTGGTTCTAAGGAGAAAAATAAACAGGAAGCCATCCACAGATGAAATGTGATCAGAGACAAACCAGTAAGAAAAACATCTCAGTGGATGTAAACATACTATACAGGGTACTACTTGATGCTACTGACACATTTAAGACTTAAAAAAGTCAAAGAGAGATATCCAGTGAAGCTCCATTCTACCAAAAAGGTTGTGATCTTCATCATGTCCTCACATGAGGATCTCAACTCTAGGTCTAACTCACCCACTCACTTAGGAATCACTTTGGGCTTGCCTCCATAAAAAAAGGTATTTAGGGACAAATGAGGCAACAAAGAATTATGGACACAGGAGATCCACACATACATCTCACCCTTCAGAGCTGGATATCACACTCCTCCTCACAAACCCAGCTGTACAAGTTGAGCACAAGCATGAATCCTGCCCTCACTGGAACGCTCACACTCTGCCACATTAATGAAAACTTCACTTCGAGACTTTTCGGGGGTTTTTTGCAAGTAACGTTTTTCTCTCATGGAGGAATGTTTACATCTGTCTCACTGACTTCCTCCAGGCATTTGTTCAACAGCAACTCATGTTTTTAGAAGCATTCTTCCTACGCTTTCCAACACTACAGTACTTTTAAAACCTTCAGGCTGCAGAGAAAACCATTCATCCCCACCGGGCCCCAGTGCCCCACAACAGCTCCCCTGCTCCCTCCCTCCCTCCCAGGTGAACAACCACCACCCGTGTTGGACTTGTCTCCCGAGGACAAGCAACAGCTAAAATTGAGGTATGGCCTGACCTGACCTGTGCGTTTAAAAATAAACATATCTATACCTATATCTATATCTATGCGTGTGTATGTTATGAGGACGCTACCAGACCTCACAGAACTGCTCTCCACTGCAACACGAGACATTTGCAGCCATAAAAAAAGCCACTTTCCTCACCAACATTTCAGTGTTAGCAAGTGCAGCGAGGGGAAGCTGCCTTTTAATTCCAGTTACGGCCCAGCATCCTCAAATAACCTTCCCCCTCCCCCTCAGCCCGACGCATGTACTAGGGGGAACTCCCGTCCTTCCCAGGACCTTTGGGATGGATGTGGCTGGGGGAAATCCCCTTTGGAGGAGGGAGCGGGTTTAGGGACGGGGCAGCTGTGGGGAGCGGGGCTGCGCAGAGCCACGGGGCCACCGCGCC